GTACTTTAAAGTGTATAAATAAGTTACCCGGGCAATTGATTTACATCAGCCAATCATATGAAAGTCCTCCTATGAGTAACTATCTCTGTCGCGGGTTTCACCCTTTCATATTATCACTTATCGTTAACGTTAATTCATTTGAGATGAATTCAGGTATAATCGAAGCTTTTTACATTAATTAATAAGTTTCATAAATTCACTTTTTTATATAGACATAGATTTCATGAGAATTGCAATTGAACAAGCAAAACTATCTAATCCGATTCCAACAGCATATTGCGTTGGTGCGGTATATTATCCTATTTACTTGCTAATTGTTGCTTTTTTTTTCTTTTTTTGATACAAGTTTATTGAATTCCCTGTATAAAAAAAAAGGTAATAGTAAAGAATGGAATAATTCTTTCAACAGGATATTCACGTGAGCTACCTGGAAATACACATGCTGAAGAATGCGCATTAAAAAAATTATCAGATCAATCACAAGCTGAAAATTCAACAATTTTTACAACCATGGAACCGTGTAGTAAAAGATTATCAGGTAATAAACCATGTGTTGAAAGAATTATTGAAAGCAAAATATCAAGGGTTGTATTGGGCATTAAGGAACCGGATAAATTCGTCAAATGTGAAGGAATTGATATTTTAAAAAAAAATGGAATTGAAGTTACTGTTGCTGAAGAGTTAGCAGATGAATATTTGAAAGTAGCAAATAAGTAAAAAAAAAAAAAAGAGTAATTCTATTTATTAGAACAATTAATTGTTCATAATCAGATTTTTAAATTTTATTAGCAGCCTATAAATTATATTATATATAATAGTGATAGAAAGCAATCCTTCAGGATGGCTTAGTCGATAAATTTTCATCAGAGTTACGTGTTCATCTTCATAATTAGGGATCTGCGGGTTCGGCACATGCCCGTGCCTGGACACTTTTATTGCAAAACGGTGCTGGCCTAAATTGTTAGAAACTTTACATGCGCGCCTACAAAATGCTTGGAACTATGGGCACAGGCAATCTTGCACTAGTGCCAGAAATGTTGCCAATATGCCCGGCATGAGCATTTGCAGATCCCTAATCATAGTATGTACCGTCTTATTAAGGTGGATCACAATTTCTTATTACAGCTCCGTTCGTATTTTATTGCTTTTTAAAATTATACGAACTTATTTTAGTAGAGTACTACTTTATTTCCACATGCAGAAGTGGCACTGTAATGCTATATATGTTATTATAAGTTTGAAACATTAGTTGTAAATAAGGGAAATTACAAATATAAATGTTGCACTTCGTTTGTTTACGCAGCGTATCTATTAAATGTCCCTCTGACTAAATAACTTTCAGTAACATTACAATCCCCTTTCTTGGAATAAATTGATTGGATTGCTTTGGACTGTTTGACTTTTGAAGACCCCGAAGAATTACTTCCATTTATTTGAGAATCAATAGCGAGCTTCTTGGATGATTGAGGACTGCTATCATGACCATCATCGTTCTTTCGCTTATTGCTATTGGTGGAAGTTGTTAAGACTTTTTCACTAGAATCATTTAAAGTAGCTTTTTCTTGTTCTGATTTATTTTTCTTTTTCTCCTTCTTATCTTTAGCTTTTGCCTTTTTTTCTGCTAAATTTGCCTTCAGCTTTTCTTGTTCGACAGGATCCGGATTTATTGTGATTATATTATCCTGCTTAAAAGCCTTACCGCACTACATAAACAAGTATAAATATTAGAATTAGCTTTGTGACAACAAATTGGGAGAAAAAAAAAGAATAACGGTGCTACCTGAATACATGCTTCACTTGGTACTTCTTTTAATGTTTGCTCTGAAAATACACAACCACATGTGTCTAAATACACAAATTTCAATTTGCCATTCATTTCTTTCATAGAAATAGGACAAATAAATTTAGATACCATTCCCCGTTCGAAATGAGCAACACTTGCCGAAGATTCTTTAAAAGCAGGATTAGGTGTAAGATTAAGCGTCTTTACGTCCTATAAAAAAAAGCAAGTTAATTTTGGCATAATGAATTCTATATTGTAAATATGGTTGAGAAATTGTAGAATACCTTTATGCTTGTAATGTGAGAGCAAATCACATCACCGTCGCCATACGCACTTTTGTTTAATAGATATTCTAATATTGCATCTTTGTTGTATAACTTTCCAAGTGCACAAGCGACAACAGGAGCTTGTAAAGGCCGCTAAAAAAAATAAAGGAAATCTTAATAATACGGATCTATCCAAAGAAAACGCAAGAAATATACATATATTTGCGTACCTTCGACAACGCACAAAAAAACCACATAGCAATCTTTAAAGCATTTTGATCTGGACGCACTTCCTTTTGCTTTTCTTTAACAAGTTCAATACGTTTAGGAATTGAGCCTCCGTCATTACCCATCGTGAAATAGAAAATAAAAAAACTGAGTTGCTAATCTTAGGGTGTACTCCCTATTTATTACTTTTTTTTCATACTATACGTCACATAACTGATAGAGCATCTACCAATGAAATTTAAAGGATCGATAACCAATCAAATGAACCTCCACCTTTATATTATGTATATAATATACCGGGTTGGTGAAAAGTAACTGGACAGTGACCTTTTTTTAATCACGATAATTATCATTTTAACAGTGACCTTTTTTTAATCACGATAATTATCATTTTAACGCTGATGCTGAAATCGGATGATGCTGAAATTCACGTGATCACATGATGATCTCCGCTATTATATAGTAAAAGTTAAAAA